AGGCAACGGCAAACCACTTCTGAAAAACCTTGCCAAGAAAACTGCAGGGACATGTCCAAGCAGATGCCAGGAGTCGTCACTGACTCAAAGGCCCAAAAAATAAAATAAAATTCTAAGGCTTTGGTCACTGGGTAGAATAAGAAACTTCAGAATTCAAGATTTTTATAGGCCCAATTTGAGAGTTATTCTTTAATTGAAATCTTGTCAAGTTCTGAGATACCTATTTCTGTGGGGATCAGTTTGAATATCTGCACTTAATGCTTTAATGCCACAAAATAATAAACTACATAAAAAATGAGGTTACAGATATAATTTGGACTCTTTTACCTACAACAAGTTGATTATTATGATATAATCCCAATGTTAAAAATCAGTCTAAAAATAGGAGAAATCTTGGGGGGACAGTAATCTGGGCCTTTCACAATATTACGATTTTGGATTAACTGAGTTCTGAAGCTGTTTTAAAAACATTTGTAGAATGAAAACATGAGTTTAAGTCAGAGTGCTTCTTAGCACTCAGCATTTGTTACTGAGTTTATCTGGTATAGCTGCTGCTGCAGTTCCAGAGTGGTTGCAAATTGTGGAGGAATTAACAGATAAGTAACCTGCTTTTTAAAGGGAGTTGATGAAATTTATCTTAATTATTTGCATAACTTCTGAAATAGTCAGCCTGAATGTCCTTTTTTGGTAAACTAGTGAAAGGCTGCCTTAATTAACATGAAATTACATGCATATGATTGTAAAATGAAATTTACATTAAATACCCACTGTTTTATGTATACTAGATATCACAAAGTATGTTTAATACAGGTTGGCTACATCAGTCTTGCTACTGGAAATCCAATTTAGGCGTGGATTATTAACTCGTACGGATTGTATTTGTCCTATTAATTGCTGCGTTTTGGACTGAATTAAACACTTGCTATTATGACTGATAGTTATGTGATAAAAATATATATGTTCTTATTAGCTATATCCTTTGGAATATATTAAGATATCAAGAACTGTGGATTTTGGGGGCATGGAGAATGACTAAAATATCATACAGTATTAGAAGGAGAAATCTACACTGATTTGCAACAACAGATTGTTGACATCTATTATTTGTCAAGATTTGAGTTAGGATGTGAAGCTGATCTGCTTGTACCAATTTGCCTAGGATTGATTTGGCTGATCTGGCTGGCTAATCAGATGCCCCTTTCATCCTTCACAAAACTGTGTGCATGGTGGAAGAGAACAATCATCCTAGACAGGGGTATATCATTCTTCAGTCAAGGGTAACGTTTGAATTAGGGTGCCCCCCGCCAGTATAGATGCGAAGCAGAAGAGTTTGGAGCTGGTCAAACTTTTTGGGACTGTTTTGTTTGTTACCGAATTCCCTAGATCTCCTCCTCATTATTGTATTGTTATTCTTTTTAAGACCGATGTAATGAAGTGAAATGAAAAACAAATTTAAAAATGGAAGTTCACTTCACTCGAATCTTTATTACAGACAAAGGCCAGAGATAAAAGGTATACATAACTGAAAACAGCTAAAAATCATTAAATAAAAGTAGAATAATACAGACAATTGTAATAGTTGGTATAAAAAGTATTTTTTAAAAATTTTTAAAAACAGCTGTGCAATGCTTGTTGAGTGGAAGTCCTTTGCCTGAAAGGGCATGCTGACTAGATTCGCAATACGCTTGACCCTATCACAGTTCCTTTCTTTTGGATCTGGCAACCCAGATCTTGGCAGTGAATATTGTAACACAGCACATTGTGTTTTCAGCCACATCATATCTCTTTCTAATTTCTTGGAGAAATGACTGGGCAGAATTGGCTCACTATCCCACAGGTGATTGTTTTTTTTTTAAGGTTTGCACAACATAGCTGTCTGGGACAAGGTAATTTGACTCACAATTGCCTTGGTACCAATTGGATCAAAACTGCCCCAATCTTGTCCCACTAGTGATGGACTTAGTAGGTTCACATAATACATTGCATCCTTAACAGTAATGTTAAGGACATGTTGTGCGGATGCAGCCAAAATGTATATCCTTGTAACAGCCATTAGAAAAAGATGCCAAATCTACTTTCAGGGCAAGTTTAAGCAAACTGTACAGAAACATGCATAAGTATTTTATAACTGCAGAAATACAGAAATCTACTTTGGTCTCTGGTTAATTCCACTAACCTTTTTTCCTCAATCATATGCTTTCAAGTTTAGACTATTCTTGGATTTCTGTCTTTCTCCAACTTGTTGTTCTTCAGATATGCTGGACTTCAGCTCCCATAATCCTATAGCCATCACAGATGGAACTGAAGCCCAACATATTCAAAGGGCACCAATTGTGGGAATTCTGCTCTAGACTACTCTAGGCCACATCCAAAGGGCAACAAAGCATTCTGAGACTATGAAACCTGGGTATAACACCTCAAAGCCTCATTGATGAATATATTTCTAACTTAATTCAGAAAGCCTTATGGAAAAAACATCTGTGAGGATATTAGAAGGAAACAGATTGAAAAGGAAGTGACTCCTCAGAAGGCAGCAGAAGATTTACATTATCCTCCATGAACTTCCATGGAGTCCTATGTTTACATTTTATCACTATTTCCTCAGACAGCTTAGATTAAGAAGTCTGCATGAGCTCATATTCTTGTTCATTTTGGATATGAACTGTATTTGCCTTTAAAAAGCATTTTGATGGTAGGAAACAAAAGGGAGTAGTAAAGCACTTTAATGCAGAGTAAATTATGACAGGATTCACATCCCTCTTAGGTATGTCATCCCTTTCTTGTCTACAGAAAACAGGTTTGCCCATTTTGGGGTTCTGTTCCTGAAATTCAGACAGTTAAAAAAAAAGATTAAAAAAACAGAAGACATTTGTCAGAGTCTAACATCTTGGCAATTTGTCTCAAGGTTTTCCTTTCCTTCTTTCCTAGGCATTTTTGCAAAATATTTATAAAATGTGTCTTAGCGTTTTCCTTTCTATTATACTTTTTTACAGATACAATATGTAATGAAAAATGCAGAAGAAAGGTGGAGATTGTGAAAATGTCCCTTGCTTTTTGGTACCTTGCTCTGAGATTAATCCTTCTCTTAAAAATCCTGAGAAAAAGTTTTAAACTTGATATTTTGGATTAGATCCTATGGCCTGTTATTTTGTCAAAAGATGGTTTCCTATTTCTACACTACTAGTCATTGTGATGAGGAATGACATTTCAGTTCTCAAATGAAATAAGGGATGTGTTTGGTTTTAGAATAAAAGTTAATAACTAGAACTGTTTTGGAGAAAAGTTAATTGCTCAATTTCCAATAAAACTGCTCTATCATTACTAAGCAATAATCCAAATGTATTAGGCCATGCCATCATTATTTTTGTAGCAAATTATTTTTTAAAAAAACAACAGCTTGTGACAAATTGAAATTTTTGAGTTTTTGAAAATGATGTTTTGCCTGGGAAGAGGTTGTGGTGAAGGAAAAACTCCAGTCTCCTTGTGAGTACATTAGAACAGTAGAATATGCTTAAGAGACTGGGGAGAATAAACTTCAGCAAGTTCTGTATACTGTTGGAGAGTCCAATGTTTGCTTTTTGTTACTTGTTAGCCAGCTCCCCACCTCTTTGTCTACAAGGTCTCTGCCATACTGGTGTTTGAAGTGGGATCAAGAAACAACCTGGTTAGTGACCCACCCACTAAGTGCAAGCAACTGACCCATGAATGTGTACCAGAGGAGATCCCTCGGGGTGCTAAACTATGGAAATACGTATTGAATGCAATAGAACTACATCCTAAAATCCAGGCTTACTCTCAATTGGTCCAGCAAAGCAGCTAGCCAAAACTGAGAATGTGGATGAAATGTGAACTGACAATCAACAGACCACTGAGATCCTACCTAGATTCTGCTGGGGTGGGAGGAATCATATAGAGTAATCTACAAAGTACCTGGCAAACGCAACGAGAGAGAGCTTTCTAGATTCCTTAGCAGATTGAATTCTGAATTCTCCATATTTTTTTTTCCCTTGGAACTGAAGGTGTTAGCAGGATTTAATTAATATTTACCAGCTAGATATGTAATACTTTTTATAAAATTATTTCACTGGGAGCTCACCCTGACTTCAGCCTTCTCGGCATTTCACCACTGCTGGGACAGGAAAGGCTATCAGTTCTGTTTTCCTGCCTACCAGCTAACATTACATTGCACTGGATATCGGATAATCACTTTTGCAGACTGTTTTTTCATCCAAAATGTTATCTTTTTTTCATTTTAGCAGCTTTATTGCAACACCCATCCCCAAGCTAAGCTTTATCAAGGAGGTTGTTCACTTACAATTAATTACTAGTGTTCTAACTCATATTCTGTCCTACACCCTTCTCACTAATTTTACTTCAAGTGCTCACATGTCAAATATTTTTGTACTATCATTTTCAATAAAGTGAAATTTTCACCCAAAAGTACAAGCTTTCATGACATTATACCATCTTCGTAAATGGGCAGAAAAGGTTCACATGCTGACAGGTAATTAAATCATATTTATTTTGGAGCTGATCTCAGTTTTGGGCTTTGTGACTTCTCCTCATTGCCACTGGAAATGGAAATAACACTTTTGATTTTGAGCTTCTCTTCCCAATTCATGTAAAAAATTCTGCAATTGTACTCTATAGTAATCAAATTAGAATAACCATAACCTGTTTCTGTGTCTCAAAACAATTAAATAGATCAGAGCATTTCTTGCACATTCATTGAAAATGGGATAAAACAACTTATTAATTAAATGATGCAGGAAAAAGAAATTAGTGGGTGTCTAAACTGATGAATTGATATTTCACGGTATATTGTTAGTCTTTGCAAAAGACTAGTTTGTTTTTTTTATATGCATAGCATTATTTGGTCATCCTGTTGTAAGTACTGTATAACATTCCATTCATTATATAGTACTGTTACTAGTAGAGAAGCATGACAAATGATTACAAGGAGCTGAATTTAAAATATGCCAAAATAATTAACTTTTTACCTTAGCTGGCTTCTTCTGGACCACTTGCTGTGGCTGCAAAAAACAAAACAAAACAAAAAAACAGATTATATATACATATATATACATGTATATTAAAATGCAGTTTAGACAATGTATGTGAGTAAAGCTATACTTTCTGGCTAATGTTATATATATATATATATATATATATATAGAGAGAGAGAGAGAGAGAGAGAGAGAGAGAGAGAGAGAG